AAACCAACAAGATAAAATTAAATTAAAATAAAAATAAAAGAAATCTTAAGGGGGGGGGAACATTCCTAGAACAAATGAAAACATAGCACTAAGTCCTGTGTGGGTTTTTCATTGTTGTTGCTGTTGTTGTTTTTGTTAGTTTGTTTTTTAAATCAAAAGCAGTTTCTGGGATGCAGACAATGCTTCAAAGCTGACCAAAAATCACAGGCACCATTTCAGTGTCTCTGTAACCCAGCTGGGGTCTCTCAGGCAAGTTACTTCTCTGCACTGCTTGCCTCTTTGGGAACAGAAGCATCAGGGCACGAAAACTCATTTATGCCTCCCCTGTCCATATTTTCTCAGGAGAAAAAAAAAACCTCATTTTTAATTGTTTAAACATTATGACTTCTATTTCCCCATCAAAATTACTCTGACCAATGTCTATTTTGGAAACATATGTTTATAGCTCTAAAAAACACTTTTAAAAAAAATGTGCCAGAGTCTGCTTGTGTTCCCTGTATCATGGAACTGAGAAGGCCGGGAGCCAACAGAGACCCGAGTGTCCACAGAGAGAGACAAAGTGGGTTACCCTATGCCAAGAGACTATCCGTGACAAACTGCATATATGGCCTGGCAGTCTCCAGTCAATGCTTTATGGACGTCACCCTTGATAACATTAGTTGTTAATTACATATGAGTATCTTTCCACGTTTCACTCCACATTCAAAACCTGTTGGAAGTTCTGCATGGCTGAACAACAGATTTATAACTGCCCCTCCCACGAAGTGACGAGGGCTTTCAGGAAGGGATTACTGTTGTTAAGTAGAGATACCAAACACAAAGCAGTAAAGTGGTTTTCACAGAAAATGCTCCATCTTGCCTTGGCTGCTGAGAAGAGCAGCATAGCAAGTAGTTGTAGCAGCTGCAAACTGTAGCTCTGGCTCAGATGTTGTAAGATGGGGCCTCAGAGCCATACTGATAATTAAAGCTTATTAAAAACAAAAACAAGACAATTGACCCAAATACAAAGAAAGGTTGTGAAGGGGTGAGGTGAGACTGGGTTCTCCTTGTCAGGCTGTCTAGAGTGTTTTCGGAAGGCAGTGGCTAATTACAAGGTTGTGGTGAGTGACCTGAGACAATGTGATTGCGGGCATAATTTTAACAGTTTGGAGTTACAATTAAATGTGGAAGCTTTTCTTAATTAACAAAGCTGAGGGCCTCGGCCACAAGTCCCCACCTCAGGGGTCTGGCAACTCTCCACTGCCTCAAAATGACCTCATCCTTCCTTCTCACCTCCATGAGCACTGCTGGGCAAAAATGAGTTGAGGTTTGTGCTGTAAGTGAATTGTGTGTGCATGTGCCTGTGTGTGCCTCTGTGTTTGTGTGTGTGTGTATGTGCCTGTGTGTGTATGCCTCTGTGTGTGTGTGTGTGTGCACGTGCCTGTGTGCCTCTACATATGAGTGTGTGTGTGTGTGCATGTGCCTGTGTGTGTATTCCTCTGTATGTGTGTGCATGTGCCTGTGTGTGTATGCCTCTGTGTGTGTGTGCATGTGCCTGTGTGCCTCT